ATGGTGCTTTACATTCCGACTGATAAATGGTAGATCAGCGATTTCCAGATTTTCACAAAGTGTTTGTTCAACATTCAGCCATGGTTCATCTTGGGGTTTGGATTTTTGCTTTTTTAGTATACAAGTAAGCCTATTGGCCAGGAAATGGTGATGCAAGTTAGGTAGATCTAATCTACCCCTTTCTCTGGTCTTTTGGAGAGTTTTTAAACTGATTCGTGGAGGTTTTCCTTTCCACAAAAACTTGGAAATACATGAATCTAGGGATTTAAACCAAGTACGGTATTTTCACAACTATAAGGCGCATATAAATGTCTTTTTTTCCCTCAAAATGTGCGGTGTGCCCTATAGTGCGGTGAGCCCTATGTGTGTTGTTACTGCGGACGTTGAGACCACCATGAGAACATTAAAGGGGGAAGTGTGGCCGTGGATTGTGTATAAAAGAACAGGTATGTGCTTTATGCAGAACATTGTTGTCTTAACAACCCTGAAAATGGCAAAGAGACACGCCTATGAAGCACAGTTTAAACTGAAGGCTATCAGCTACACAGAGGAAGATGGAAATTGAGCAGCCGCGAGAGAATTCAAGATTAATGAATCGATGGTTCGCAAGTGGAGGAAGATGGAAAACTAACTCCGACAGGTGAAGAAGACGCAGCTGAGTTTCCGCGGACATAAGGCAAGGTGGCCCGAGTTGGAGGAAAGACTCGAGCAATGGATCATCGAGCAAAGAACGAGTGGGGTGAGCATTTCGACGGTCACTGTTCGACTAAAAGCAGTAACGCCAGCGGAAGAAATGAAAATTGAACATTTTCAAGGAGGTCCGTCATGGTGCTTTCGTTTTATGAAACGGTGCCATTTTTCCATCCAGACCAGGACTACAGTATTGCAGCAATGTCCGGCGGATTATAATGAAAAGCTGGTGAGTTTCCACCCCCAATGCAGCAAACACATCGCCGACAAACGCATCCAGCCAAGCCACATCACCAACATGAACTAGGTGCCGCTCACTTTCGACATCCCGGTGAATCCCACGGTGGAGAAGAAGGGGACCAGCACGGTAGCGATAAACACAACGGGGTATGAAAAGGCGTCGTTTACTGTTGTGCTTGGCTGCCATGCAAATGGACAGAAACTGCCGCCTATGGTGATTTTTAAGAGAAAGACTTTGCCTAAAGAGACTTTTCCAGCTGGAGTTGTTATTAAGGCAAATGAAAAGGGCTGGATGGATGAGGAGATGATGAAAGAGTGGCTGAGGGAGGTGTATGTAAGGAGACCAGGTGGTTTTTCCCACGCATCACCATCGCTGTTAATCTGTGACTCCATGCGTGCCCATCTCACAGCCGATGTGAAAAACAAGGTGAAACAAATTAACGCTGTGCTTGCTGTTATTCCGGGAGGTCTGACCGCTTGACATCGGTGTGAATCGGCCGTTCAAAGTAAGGCTGCGAGCGGTGTGGGAGCGATGGATGACCGACGGAGACCACAGTTTGTGACGTTCTGGCACTGGAGCTGGCTCCACCTACCATCTCTCTCTGGTTCAGCCTCCACACTCCGAAATCAACTGTATTGGAATCACCTGTCACCAACTACTCTTAAGCTAAGTTCCAACCAGCCTCCAGTGCCAGAACATCTCAAGCCAATTGGTAAGAACTTCCAGTGATTCATAGTTATTCTGCCTGTCTGATCCCGACCTGTTTGCCTTCGATTCCCGATTTTGCCTGATCCCTGTTTGCCCGCCTGAGTTCTGCTTCGCCAGTCTCTGGATCCAGCCTGCCTGCCTGTGTACCGACCCCACCTGCCTGTGACTCCGAGTTCCTGCCTGCCCCTTTGGATTGATTCCCTGGCTCTGACCCTCGAACGGACCTGGACCACGGTTTGGATTTTCCTTGGTACTGTTGCTGGATTCTGATTACCTGTTGCCAAACCTGGAATTCCCTGACCACGCCCCCGGATTGACCCACGTTCCTGTAATAAACTCTGTTAACTGACCGTACCGTCTCTGGGTGTCTTTGGGTCCTAAACAGTTCGTTACAATTTCACGAAAAGTGGAAGGCAGCGCCGGGCAAGTTACGCCACAGTTTGCGCATGGATTGTAGATGCTTGGGCTTACTTGTCTGCTGGCACTGTTGTTCAAGCTTTCGCAAAAGCCGGCATAATTTCCGAGGAGCCGCACGGCACGGAAAGTGACTGACAGCGAAGAAGGGAAAATTGGCATGTCTGATTTAGCGCAGCTGTTTAATTCAGAAACAGAGGATGATGACTTCGATGCGTTTGATTAATACTTTGTAATAAATATATGAATAAAGCACAAACGTATTCAGTTTTGCTCCCGCTCTATTTTTAAATACGCAGTAGAGGTATTTAAACGTAGTAGAGGATATGTATCGGTATATAAAACCCGCGCCCTATAATCCGGTGCGCCTTGTGTGTGTGTTAAATACAGTAATGGCACACATACTGACAAAGTGGCAGCTATAAGCAAACAGTTTGCTGAACGGCCTGCACCTGAACCTTCGCACAGTACATATACAAGCAGAAGTCCTACTGCTTTGTGCTCCTCCTTCGCTCCTCTCACTGAGAGCAATGTGTCCAAACTTCTCACATTTAGCCGTCCTACTACATGCCTGCTGGACCCAGTTCCTACAAACTTACTCCAGTCCATAGCTCCTACAGTTACTGCAGCAGTCACACATGTGATCAATGCTTCGCTGACATCTGGCACATTTCTTAGGTCATACAAGCAAGCTTTGGTCACACCGCTACTCAAAAAACCCTCTCTCCCACCAACTCGGGTGGAAAACTAGCGGCCGGTTTCTCCGCTTCCATTTCTGTCAAAGACCATTGAAAGGGCAGTCTTTAAGCAGGTCACAGACTACCTTTCACAAAACAAACTCCTCGATACAAATCAGTCTGGGTTTAAAAGTGGCCACTCCACTGAAACTGCTCTGTTGTCTCTGACAGAAGCCTTAAAAGAGGCAAGAGCAACTGCCAAGTCCTCAGTACTTATCCTTCTTGACTTATCAGCCGCATTTGACACAGTCAATCATGACATCCTTCTGTCTAAACTCTCGAGCATGGGCATCACAGGGAGAGCACACTTCTGGTTTGAATCGTACCTCACTGGTCAATCATTTAAAGTAGCCTGGCTTGGTCACACTTCTGCAGCGCACCACCTTGCCACAGGGGTTCCTCAAGGTTCAGTACTTGGACCTCTTCTCTTTGCTATATATACCACTTCTTTGGCCCAGATCATTCAATCACATGGTTTCTCCCACCACTGCTATGCTGATGATACACAGCTCTATCTGTCATTCCCACCTGATGACCACTCGGTCTCAGCACGCATCTCAGACTGTCTCTCTGACATATCAAAATGGATGAAAGCCCACCACCTCCAGCTGAATCTCTCAAAGACTGCTCGTCTTTCCAGCCAAACCAACTATTCACCACAATATTCACATCCAAATTGAATCCCTCTCTCTGACTCCATCAAAGGCAGCAAGAAACTTGGGTGTCATGATTGATGACCAGCTGACCTTTAAAGATCACGTTGCCTCTGTTTCTTGATCCTGTCGCTTCGCATTACTAAACATAAGAAAGATCCGGCCGTACCTAACACACTACCCAGCTCCTGGTGCAGTCTATGGTCATCTCCCGCCTAGACTATTGCAACGCGCTCCTGACTGGCCTCCCAGCCTGTACAGTAAAACCTTTACAAATGATCCAGAACGCGGCGGAGTGTCTAGTCTTCAATCAGCCCAAAAAATCTCACGTCACCCCTCTGTTCATTGAACTCCACTTGTTACCTCTGGCTGCCCGTATCAAATTCAAGTCCCTGATGCTAGCCTACAAAGTGCCTAAGGGTACGGCTCCCATCTACTTGAATCCTCTTGCAAAGGCTTATGTCACAACTCGATCACTCCGGTCATGAATGGATTGTCGTCTAGCAGTGCCTTCACCACGCTTAAGACAATCCAGACTGTTTGCATGTGTGTCGTTACAAGATGGTGGAACGACCTACCAAGCGCCACAAGAACAGCGACAAAGATAATTGTAAGGGCTCAGATCCACAACTCTGCCGCACCAGACGAGGACTTCGCTTCAATATTCACCAGTAAGTTACCTATATACAATCATTAAATTCAATGCATTAATTCAGCGGCGTTTAATATACATCTATTTAATTTTTTTATTTTATTATTTAGAACCAACGGCTGATGAGTTGGACAATTTTTTTCTGACGCAATCTGACTACAGTAATGATCTAATTAAATCTCAGCATCCTTTCATTTATTTAGTCATCTTGTAATACATTTAATTTTTTATTTAGGATTTAATCGACTCAAGCGTTGAGTAACACTCCACCCCATGCATCTACCGATGCGAGTTAGGCCTTGACGGGGGAGAAGACGCCCCTACTGTTCCGAAAACGAGAAGAAGGCTGGCCCGTCCTCAAACATATAGTGAAAACCACTCCGATCTCTTGGAGCAGCCCCATAACGACGCAACGTTGGAAGAGTTAAACCAACTACATACATACATATATACATTATTATTATTTTTATTTTCTGTATCGTAGAGGCTACCGGCAGATGAAGAACCAAAACTGTTTTGCAGACCTGCCAGACCCTGCTGCGCACTCTATCAAACGAAATAACAGACTTAACCAACTAACCATTGTAGTATGGATAACCATGAAGGCAACGATGTATTAAATGAAATTATCAAAGCAGTGAATGATCGTGAGAATATACCACAAAATGTTCATATTTCCAACTACCTCAGACCGCTTCAAAATGCTCTGCAAAGCACGCACGTGCAATTAGCCCATTCTGACTCTGAAAGAGAGGAGTTAGATAAAGATTCCACGGATGCGGGATTATTTTGGATGGATGGGATTATTTTCGTTGGAACAAGCACTCCACACATTAAACAACCGTACGTCTGCTTCACTCCGTGGTGAAAATGTTTCAAACCAGCCGTAACAACGTGGTGCTCACATGAACCAGGGACATGCAGAGAGCGCTCATCAGAATCAGACAGAGTCCCTCACATCAGCCCGGCCTGCACCTCCTCCTCTCCCTTCTGCAAGTAGCGGCCCTCAGCCTTCAACATCCAGCCACCCTCCCATCCCAGGCAACTCTGCTGATGGAGCCGCTGATCAGGAGCCTAATATGCCCCCCAGGCAACGTGAAAACTTCGTTACTGAGATAAGGCGTCCTTTTATCGTAACTGCGCCCTCCCCTGGTAATGTACCCGACCTAGCTGTATTTTACAGTGTGATGCATGTGCTTATGGAGTTGGCTGACGCTGCAAGAGGAATGGCTGCGCGTGGTGACGTTGTACAGCTGGAATTAGCTGAAGGGGGATTCTCGCGTCACGTGATTATTCCTGTCAATGGCGGAGATGATGACAGTATTTTGCATGCATTTAAGGATTTTTTTTTTAGATGAGCTTGCACAGTCCAATGCCGAGCTTCCTGCAAATAACAACCTAGAGGTTATTCTCCAGGTTGTCAGGAATCCTTTTGGAGGCGTGAAACGCAAGTTAGAGAAAACGTTAGACTGCGAGTTAATTAATAATAAAAAAACGTCACTTGTACCTTGTGAACAACGCAGAAAACCAGTTATGCTTTTCTATCAGCCTGGCGCATGTCAATAATCCATGTTTAACCGACAGGGAAGCCTCAGTCCAGGGGAGGCAGTGGCAGCTTATGGCAGGTTTGACTGAGCGAATGCCCATTAACTTCAGCGATGTCAATCAATTTGAGAGGATAGTGAAGAGGAAGATTGTCGTCTTTTATAGAAAGGCTGAAAAGGTTTGTTGTGTAAATTTGAGACAGACTTCCCTGACCATTCAAACCCCCATTTCCTATTCCTGCTGGGAAACCATTACTATGGGATAACGAATCTCACAGGTTTTACCAGAGCAAAATACACCTGTAGTTATGGTTATAGCGGTTTCGATCATCCCGAAAGGCATTTCTTGAAGGTAAGTGTCACATTTGTCATGACCCCAGCTGTCATCTCAGGCCTTTAAGATCTGTGCAGTGCACGGCGTGCAATCGGATCTGTCATGATTCAATATGTTTTGATAAACACTGAGAGCCTCGCCTCAGACCCCAGCTGGAAAAGTTTAGGCGTAATTGCGAAACCAGTAAATTCTGCCTGGTCTGTAAAGGACTTTATCACGTGCCCGCCTCTTAAGAACGTTTCATTGATGAATGCTCAGTAAAATGCACAGTTTGTGGTGAGAAATTACCTTGCGAAACTATGTAACACTAAACGAACATCAGTCTTACATTCAGCCCCGCCCTACCGATCAGGGGCTAGACAATAAACTGTTTTTTTACGATTTTGAATCTTTCAGCAATCAGAGCGGTGTGCACGTTCCCTTTCTAGTCTGTACCAAAACTTTAAAAGGATTGGTTTGTTGCGCTTATGGGCTGGATTTTGTCAAACAGTTTCTGCTTCATTTCAGGAGGCCCGGATACAGGGGTTACACATTTATTGCTCATAGTGCGCGTGGACAGCTATCTGATCCTGAGTGCCATGGTAAAGATGGGTATTACACCGTCTCATTACACAGGGCAGTAAAATCCTGTTTCACAGAGCCTGATTTCAGTCTGAAATTCATACAGTCTGTCATTTCTAATCGTGAAACTCAGCGCCATGCCAAAAGCCTTAGACTTTGATGACCAGAGTAAAGTTTTTTTCCCTCATTTGTTCTCCTCCGAGAACAATTTGAATTATGTCGGGTCATTTCTTCTGCCCAGTTGTTACGCGGCAGAGCTCATGGATCCTGCTGAGCGCCAGCGGTTTGACACGTGGTACAGCGAGGCAAGCAAGGGATCATTTGACTTCCAGAAAAAAGCTCATTATTGTAAGAATGATGTTGAGATTCTTTACAAGGGCTGTATGAAGTTTAGAGAGGAGTTTTTTAAGGAGACAAACGTGAATCCTTTTAAATGCATAACAATCGCTTCTTCCTGCATGAAGGTTTTCACCTCCAATTTTCTTCCCGCAGAGAGCTTAGCCATTCCTTCTCCAGTGGATTGCAGGCGTCAGTGCAAAACATTTTCCAGCACCTCCATTCAATGGTTGGAGTGGAAAACGTAGAATGGGGGCATTGACATCCAGCATGCATTAAACAGGGGGGAGCAGAAAATAGGTCCCTATTTTGTGGATGGGTATGCAGAGGTGAATGGCATCAAAACTGCTTTTGAGGTTTATGGCTGTCTTTACCACGGGTGCCCCCGCTGCTTCATGCCTAATCACTTTGAAGCGCTGCACACAGCACACTTGAAAGAGAGAAGGCGGGGCAGTTTGTGTAGGGTATTGATCTGCATGTTGTGTGGGAGCATGAGTGGGCGGAGATGAAAACGTCACTCTCGGGTATGATCAACCTCCTCCAGAGCTTCAAAGCCCCTGCCCCATTCTGCCCGCGAGAAGCTTTGTATGGGGGGCGGACTGAGAAACCTTTCACAGCGCCTTTTTGGACATCCAACTCCGCCCATCCAAGACATCCAACTCCGCCCATCCAGTCGGCCATTTTGATTACGTCTTGCGACTATGAGCTTTCTTAGGTGCAAACAAAACTTTACTGCCCATAGCAAATCGGAAAACGAACGATGTCGGTAAGTGAAAAATACATAATTTTATGTTCATAGGCCTAACAATATTACTTTGTTGACCTGCTGGATGAAATATTTATGATATTTGATATGACGATCTAGTTTATTGTGTTCATTAGTTTTTTGCATGATAATGTAGTAGTTTTCTAGAGTACCTTCAATATAATGTTAGCTAGCGCTAGGTCCTGTTTAATTTTAGTTATAGATGTTTCTTGTTAAATAGAGTTTATGCAATATCCATCCCGTGATGTCAAATTAACATTACAGAACGTTTTCATTTTTGTGTCAAAAGTTTGCCCCACACTTCCCAGGGGTGACGTATTCAAAATGGCAGACTATGACGCCATAGTCCGCCCCCCAACTTGGGCGGAGTTGGGGGGCGCATGGGCGGAGTTGGGGAGTGACATAATCAAAATGGCAGACTTAGATGGGCGGAGTTGGAGTTCCAAAAGGCGCTGCAGCGATATGTACTTGCTCACTGCGCATGCGTTAGACAGCGAGGGAGGGTGAGTCTATATACCACGTTGACTTCACGAGTCTTCACGAGTAAACTGTAGCTTCCCCTACCCCCTCGGGCATCCCAAGATCATCTACAAAGATTTTGATGAACCCCACAATTATTACGGTTTCATCAGAGCCACTGTATATCCCCCACGGGCTCTGTATTTTTTCCCCCATTCTGCCTCACAAGACATCTGCGGGCAAACTGGCTTTCACTCTGTGCTGCGCATGCGCTGAAATCGGCAACCAGAAAGGTTCCTGTTCACACTCCGACATCACTGAAGTCTGGCATTTTGAGAAACAAAGCAGCACGATCTTCAAAGGTTAAATACACACCTTCCTGAAGGGTAAGCAGGAGGCTTCAAGCTACCCGGCTGATGCGACGGATGAGGAGAGCAGGCTAAAATATATAGAAGACTACAGGGTTAATCAGGGGGTCCGGCTGAATCCGGACAAGATCGAGGTGAACCCCGCTAAAAGACAAGTGGCTAAACTGTGCACTTTGAACAGCTTTTGGGGGAAACTTGCACAGAGAAATGACCTGGCTCAAACCACCATCGTGAGCAAACCCGATGAATTTTTCAACTTTATGTTCTCCGGTAAATACACAATCACCCACTTTCAGTGGAAATTCAACAGGGGCTGCATCTCTCCGCCCAACAAGGTGAATAATGTGTTTATCACCGCATTCACCACTGCCTGTGGCCGTTTAAAATTGTAGAGCTGTCTCGAGCGAGTGCAAGATAAGGTCCTGTACATAGATACAGACAGTCTTATCTACCTGGTTAAAGGGGGGAACCATCTGGGGGACTTGACGGACAAGCTGGGAGGGGACACGATTAAGGAGTTTGTGGCATTAGGACCCAAAAGTTACGCCTACCAGACCAGAGACCGGAAGAAGGTAGTGATGCGCGTTAAAGGCATTACTCAAACTCACAAGTCTAGCGAAAGGGTGAACTTTGACACCGTTAAAGACCTGGTAGAAGGTTTTCTGTAGGGAACCAGAGGGGGCGTAATAGAGGCACCGCAGCGAACCATTAGGAGGGAGGGTGAGCTATCCTGACACATACACACACACGTGATAAGGAAAAAAAACAAACTCTTCATAAAACAATAAATCTTTTATCCCTAATCCCTTTCATCTACTTGATCAAAGAGGGGGGGGTCATAAATCATGACACATGGGGTCATAAATCACTTTTTGACATAAGGGATACGCTAATTTCTGTAATCTATATACTAAAATGGCAAAAATCCAAACCCCAAGATGGACCATGGCTGATTGTTAAACATGCACTTTATGAAAATCTGGAAACCTCTGATATACCATTTATCAGTCTAAACTTAAAGCACCACAAATGCTTAAAAAATATTAATGTCAGCACTTCTCTGACAGTCTCTCCAGAGTGGTGAGGACAGCTGCGAGGATCAAGACCCTGCTTCCTTCCATACAAGACACAGCAGACAGCCGCTCCTGTTCAGAGTTCACTGGATCCTCTCCGACCCCACAACCCCCCACTAAGGACTATTGCCCTTGCTTGGCGTTTGGCAGGAGGTTCCGCAGCATCCGATGCAGAACGTCCAGGCTCAGAATCGGCTACTTCCCCTTGGCCATCAGACTGCTCAACGCTGGATAACACCACCGTTACCACATGAACAAATCCCCCCCCCACACACACCCAACATTTCCCGAGTCATGACCACAGCTCCCAGGGTTCCTGCACTAACGAGCTGATGCCATCCACCTACGAGGTTACCATTCCACCAATCAGGAGAGGCCACCCATCTGATTTAAGGAGCCAGGAGTCAAGACACCAGGGAGCATGTTGTTGTGGCCCTGCTCCCATGCCTGTGTGTACTCCTGAGAGGATGTCGTTTTGGAACTATGATGTGGCACTTTTTAGGCCATAGGCTGAAGCCTGTATCGTTCAGGTTTGCTCCACTTAATTAGGGACTACTAAATGACACCTACAAAAAAATCCTAAGTGCATTTTGAGCCCATGACCAAAAGTTCTCCAATCGCTTTGTGCCAGTATTTTTACAGTAATTACTTAAAAATGTAACTATATCGGTAGCCTGATCACACCGCTAATCTACGCTTGGATCAAGAAGTGGGAAGACTGTTCATCTGGCAGCCTAGGCTTTACTTTGTCTGAGACAATGACACGCTGGGGACAAAAGCTGCAAAGTCAGGAGCACAAGAGTGGAGTGAAAAGATTTGTAAAATGGTCAATTAACATGCAAGACAAAGGAATGTTTGGCTGTTTTAGAGATGCACCACCAAAATTGAGTGAATTCAGTGTTTTTATTAAACAATCTGCACTAAGTCTGGAGCAATCTTCAGCAAAGTTACAGGAAGCCAAGTTTTTTCAGAAAGCAAAAATACAGCGAGAAGTCAAACAGGCCGAAAGATTTTTTGCTGACTAAATGTTTTTTTAGGAGAGGTTAGACAGACTTTACAGTTGTCCTCTCAGCAATCTCCCCAAGCACCAGATCAAAGCCTGGTTTCTGCAGCAACCCACATGAATCTCACAGGTAGAAATCCTTCAGTGGTGCACCCCCCTCCTTATGCAGAAGTGAAAGCTCTGTTGGAGGCTGCAAATCCACAGTTGCCCCACCCCGCCTTAACGCCATTGACACCTGGTCACTCAGCTTCAGAGCACAGAAATTCTGACCTTGATGTGAATTCTCCACCCATCATGGTGCCTCTTGTTGTCATTGAAAAAGGCTTATCAAACACAAAGACATTTGAATGACCAACAGGCCAGGCTGAGAGTTTCCTGGCCACAGCAAGAGAGCAAAGCAAAAATCAATTTAATTGTGATTTGAATGCCTCTCACATGGAAAGTGAACTGGGGACCAATGAGACCTTATTGCAAAGTGCCTCTCTGATCACCCGTTCACAGATCAACTCTTATGTGTCTTCACCACACAAAGACAGGCCCACCACAGATCTGTTCCAAGGTTTAAATTCAAACCAAATAAATAGGAGAAATTCTGATCAGAGTAACATTCATTTTTGTTCAGATAAACGCAGAGCTTGTCATCAAATGCCTCTTGTGTCTGCCAACACAGCCGGAGGTAATTTTTCCACAACATACAACCCCTTTTCACTCTAAGATACAGCTATGATAAAGTCTAAACTCCCCGATATCAATAATGGTGGCGCTACCTGGATCAAATCTTTTTTAGAAGTTTGTGCTGGCATCGTTCCTGCATTAGGGGATTTTAGGCGGATTTTTGTTGCTTGTACTTCTTTGGGCATGCTTACAGAATTAAAACAACAGTGTCTGACGGATGTAGAATCAGATAATGTACCTTTACATGAAACAGTGCATCTACTGTGGCCTGCAATTAGAGAGAAGTTCCCCGTGCAAATTAAATCAACAGAGCTCTGTCATATTCCACTTAATTTGGCGAAAGAGGGGCTGCTTATTTTTTAAGAGTCACAGAATTATGGCAAGACAGAACTGGAGAAGATCCAACTGCTCATGAAACGATGGAGATTCTCTTTAGAGGTGCTGTCGAGTCCTCCTCGTCTCAGCCAAACCACATTCCTCAATGCTTCCCGAATAGGCTATGTAGTGCATCTTATAGAGTTTGGTCTGCTCATGTTACCCAGTACATAGATAATAAACTTGAACAGCAGGAAAAGGATAAACACAATATTGCTGAAATGCATTTAAGTCTCATCAAAGCACAATTGCAAGATATGAGACATCAAGTAAATCTTGAGAAAAAATGATCCAAACAAATGGCTGGTTTACCAGCTCAGCAACTCTCCTTGCCCCAAAACCTACCAGTAATGTCTGATAATAACTTGCAGGGCCACATCTCAAATCCACATTGTCTACCTTCTGTGGGCCCTCCTCAACCCCCATTGCAGAACCAGTTTAGAACAAAAAACAAGGGTAGAGGACAAAGAAGGCCTAATTACAAATTCAAACCAACACCTAAAAACACTGATGTGTATTACTGCTGTGGAGGAAGAGGCCACTGGGCCAGACAGTGCCAGGAGGTCTATCATTCTCAGACTCAGGGAGGTGTTCTATCATACGAATTTTGCGCCTATCCACCTCAGCAGGGATCCTTTGATTCAGCTCAAAGTCAGCAGCCTCAGAACCCGTGGCACCAGGCCCCTGGGGTTCCACAAATGCCGCAATAGGGCTGCCCAGATCCAACAACAGGAAATTCACTGTGTCCTGAAAATTCATACCTTGAGCCTTAAGTTAAATTAACAGTTGATGGCCAAGAATACATGTGTATGATAGACACAGGAGCCAGGTATTCCACATTGAACACGCCACTCCATCTAGGAAAACTGTGCCCGTTGTTGGTTTCTAGGGTCATACAGAAGAGTGGACACTTTCAAATCCTGTTAGATGTACATGGAATTCTGTTTCATTTGAACATTCATTTTTGCTTTCTCCTTTTTGCCCAGTTAATCTCTTGGCTAGAGATATTTTGTGTGCTTTGAATGTTTCTTTGTCGTTGACTCCAGAGTATGTAGACATCACCTTTCCTGATTGTTCTGTTCATAGATGTGCGAACACAAAGCATGCTATTAAGGACTACTGCTAATGGCTATGATGTTGGTACAATCCTAGATGATTGTGTTATCTTACCCTTGATGTAACTATATGGAGAAATGTTACATTACTTACCTGCAGGTGAGCAGGTGGGTTAAAGATAAAATAAATTGGAATAAAATATAGAAAAAAACAACATCTAGCACTTTTGGAAGTTATCATAAATTAAAAAATGAAACCTCAGTATGTTTGTTAGTCAACAGGCTGCAACTGAAGCAAACTAAATTATTGGGAGTCATCTTAGACTCACACCTGTCTGGGGCTGCTCATATAGATGGTATTGTCGCTAAAATGGGTAGAGGCATTAAGATGGTGAAGAAATGTGTTTCATTCATAGCCGCTGCTATTGCTAAACAGGTTATACAGTCTGGTCCTGAGTTATCTGGAGTACTGCCCGGTGATATGGTCATCTGCTTCACAGAGTGAGCTTCACAAGCTTCAGCTGGCACAAAACAGGGCGGCTAGAGTGGTCCTTCAGTGCTCAAAAAGAACAAATGTGGCTTCAATGCATAGACAGCTTTCATGGTTAACTAACTTATAAATTTAAATTAAGACTTCTCCCATTTATATGGAATGTTTTCTTTAAAAAACAGCCCTAATTTTTTGCTGAACATTTAGTCCTTGTTGAAAAAAGTCATTATTTAACAAGGCGGGCACTAGGTGGAGACATTAAACTCCCTTGACCCAGAAGTCACTATCTAAAATCCACAATGCATTATAGAGCCAAATGTCACTGGAACAAACTGCCAATAACCACACGAAGAGTTCAGAACAGATCAAGCTTCAAAAAGATACCGTCTTCAGAACTACTGCAGATGATATGATGAACTGACCTGTGTATATATGTTGTATATTTCTATACTTTTTCATGTTCCTATTATTTTCCAATGTGATTTTTTTATGGTTTGTTCATAATGTAATGTAATTTCTTCGTGTGTGTGTGCGTGTGTGTGTGTGTGTGGGGGGGGGTTGCATCATATTCATGGAGAATATATTCACACACAAAATACGCAGGTGGAAGAGAAGAGGACATTGTACTCTGCTCCACGTTATCTGTATGGCCAGCGTACGATCTTTCTGCAATGTAAAAATGGATGAAATTTGAATCCCCTTATGGACTAGCAAATACTTCCAGAGGAACTCTGCTTATTTCTTCAGTGAGACCTGGCTGCATAACGGAGTTCACGACACCGCTGTGGAGTTACCTGGTTTCCAGTTGATTAGAGCTGACCGCGACATGGAGGCCAGCTAGGAAAATAACAAAAAATAATAACCGAAAGGGAGGAGGTCTGTGTTTTTACTTAAATAGTAACTGGTGCACGGATACAGTGATATTACACAAACACTGTTGTGGCATCCTAGAATCATTTTTTGTTGTGTAAACCTTACTACTCTCCGAGAGGGTTCTACTCCACCATCCTCGAGGTAGTTTACATCCCTACGCAAGCCCCTGCCCGCGAAGTAGTGTAGTGGCTAGCTAAGCAGATCTCTGCTGTGGAAACATCTAGGCCTGCTATGCAAGACAACACCCTGGACCACTTTTACTCCACCGCTGCATCCCTCGTGCCCCCCTTGGACGTTCCGACCACTGCATTATCCAGATGGCCCCAGATACAGGCAACAGCTGCAGAGGTCCAAACCATCCAGGACCACAGGAGTGCATGGAGTCTACTGACTGGGAGTCACAGAGGGGCCCTGAAGATGACAACGGCTGCTTCGCTGACACCCTATGTTCCTACACCAGCTTCTGTGAGCAGGTTTTCCTCCCAACCAAAACTGTCACAAGGTACATTAACCAAAAGCACTGGTTCTCCAAGGAAAGAACAGGCGTACAGATAAGGCGATATGGACACATTCAGACTGGGCAAACAGGACCTTAAAAGGGCTATCAGAACTGCCAAAGGGACTATCATGCCCGACTTGAGCCTGATTCAACCACCAATGACTCTGCAGTTGTGGAGTACCCTTAGGACCATTACAGGGTACACAGGCAAAAAGCCCCACCATCACCCCCTCCTATGGACTAGCTGATAACCCAGAACCTTTTACATCAGGTATGAGAGTCCATTTGCCCCTCTTGTCTTCACTCCACTCACTCAGTCAGTCCCGTTCCTTATCCCCCCAGAATTCCTTCACACACTGCACTAAACCCCCCAAAAAATTTACTTTTTCCAGTGCCCTCAACACGAGTTACCATCCACCTCAGCTTTATCATCCATTTTTGCAATTGTGTGATGTCAGAGAAATTCCACTCATTCTTGGGCGACAGAATTCATCCACTTTCCAACTGATTTTGATTTAATCCACCCCAGCCAAACAGTTTCCATTTCCTAAACTCATTTGAACAGAATCAGATTGATGAAGTGTATTTCCTCTTCAATAGGCAGTGATGAAACTGATGGGTCTCTTTACCTTACTTCTTGCTTGATGAGGAGGAGTTGATAGCAGTGTGTTTCCAAATCGCACAGCCGACCATTGGCCTCCTTCCAATTCCATTCCCTCCTCTGTCAGAACAGTTCTTACTTTTTGTGACGACCATCTATAAACCCAAAATATATTTGTCACTTGCAGTTGTTTAGGAGTGCCCTTCACACATACTCCACTCAATTAAATGCAACTGTCCAGGACTTAATTAATATTCTGGCTGATATTTTGCAAATATTATAGTTTAAAAAAAGAAGCTACATTACCAAAAGATGTTGCTGGGTTGAACACAAATGCTGGTAAACAGTTAGAACCGCGTGCTTCCACCATGCTCTTACCTGACTGCTCGTTATCATCAAACCTTTATCACCTGTGAATGTGCAGCTGCCACCTGTGTGACTAACTGAAAATGACATCAGAGTGAGACCTCTCTCTACTGGGCAATTCAAAATCCTATAAATATACAAATAGTTATTCAATATTTAAAGAAAACTAAATTATATCATAGAATTTGATTTATAGAAGGAGTGAATTATATAAATGAGTAGAATATTAAGGTACATATAGATAGATAGATATAGATAGATTGATATATATATATATATATATATATAGAGAGAGAGAGAGAGAGAGAGAGAGAGAGAGAGAGAGAAAGAAAGAGAGAGAGATATTTATATACATATAGATAGACAAATAGATAGACAAATAGACCATTAAGAACCACACTCCATACCAGTAAGTGGCGGTAATGCTTCTAAACGTTTGTTGCCAAAAAAACTCCACAAGAAGAAGAAGACCTCTCTCTACAGGGAAAAATAAATACATGCACAAATAATTACAAGGATAGCTACTCTTCTCTGCCCGGAGTTGTAACCATCTGAATATATGTGAGGAAAGGGTGTTGTGGCGTGAGCATCACCTACTGACAGATGATTCTTGTAATAAAAAATTTCTGTACTGCAAGGACATCTGTAAGGAAACAGCTCCCCGTAGATATCAAGTTTGGTCTAATTTAGAGATTTACAATAAAATCTGGTAAGAGGGGGAACTATAATTTAGCTGGAAGGTATCAGTAATTGTTCCAGTTGCCAAATAGAGACAATACAAAATTGTTAATGGTAAATAGTATTGGTAAAATGTTTAATTGAATGAAGGATTTCTTATCAAACAGAAATGTACAAGTCTGAAAAACATATACAGTTTCTAATGGAACACCACAAAAAAACATTATAAGTCCAATGCTGTTTTCTATAGTGATTAATGATGAATTTACAGAGAGTGAAAAGGAGATGAGATGCACATTAGATAGGTGGAAGAAGGACTGAAATCTAGAATTTACAATAAATAAAACACAAGATGCCATTAATAAAATACAGAAATGGGGTTATGACTGGGCATTTAAAGTTTCAGTGTTGAAAACAAAAGTAATACTTTTCACTCAAAAAAGAAATACAGGAGGAATCCCATTGAAACTCTATAATAAAGAACTGGAAAGAGTTGGGAGTATACAATTTCAAAGGATTTGGGGAAAAAAAGTTTAAAAATAGAATATTCACATACAGAAAAATATGTTTAACCCTAAAGCATTTAAATTGTGAATAGGTTTCCTAGGAGTACAAGGCCGAGTAATAGAATTTTATCTTTGGCTATTTTTATGAGATGAAATGGACATTTGGAGCCACAGTCTACACCAGTAGATGGCGATAATGCTCACTAAACGTTTTTATTCTATTTTACCAACCGTCAAGAAAAATGAAGAAGACGACCGAGTAGGAAAACAAGAAGAAGAGGCGTGACGCTGCAGTTACCCATCATTCACTGGGCGTCATGGCGGACACAAGGGAAAAAGCGCTGCAAGACTACAGGAAAAAGCTCTTGGAACACAAAGAAGTGGACGGTCGTTTAAAAGAATGTAAACGAAAAAACGTTTATGGTTGAGTTCAGATTCGTAGCTTCACGGTGCTTGTTCGAACTGATCACGTGTATGTTGTTAGTTAATCACCATTGGCTAGCTCGTTAGCTAGCTACTGCTTTGTCATGCAGTTAGCATTTGTGTGATAATGACTCCTAATTCGCTTGAATGAGTTCACCAGAGGCCTTAATTTAGCTGTTTAAATTGGTCCTGAGGGCCTACGACTTTTATAAACGGTGTGCTAACTGTTAGCTTGTTGTGAGGACGAAATGGTCCCGGCTGTATCACACACCAGTGTGCCATTAATATGCCGGCCGAGTGGAAGGAAGCCTAACTGTATCCTTGTTGCTCTTTTGACAGTGCGAGAGCAGCTAAGAGAGCAAACCAAACAGTACGAGAAGTCAGAAAATGACCTGAAGGCTCTTCAAAGTGTCGGGCAGGTAAAGGAAACGGCTAACTCGTACCGTAAACATTCCCCTAACGGGCCACAGATTCGGGGACCGCTGTCATTCAGCATCATTTATCGGTGCTCCAACTTCAGTAGTTATTCAGCAGCAAATATGAAAATAAGATGTTTTTTTAATGTAACAGAGGGGCAGAAATGATTTTTTTTGTGTTTGTTAATGTCTCCCGTACAGATTGTTGGAGAGGTGCTCAAGCAGCTCACTGAGGAGAAATGTAAGTTTACTTTCTTTGTATTGAGTGAGTTTAGGGGATTTACTTTATCCTCTGCTTTAGCTCTCCATTCTGCCTTTTTACTTGATATACTTGTTTCTCAGTTAAGAAGCTAGACTGATATAGATGGTACATGAGCATTACTCCCAAGATTTAAAATAACAAGTAATTGAAAAGAAGGTGACATTAGATATTAGATAACTGTAAGAAGAAAAAGGATAGAACAGTGAATACGTCTTAGGTTTGACACATCTGTGTTTGTTTTTATGTTGTTGATGATAAAAATGCACAATTGGAAAAAAGTTCTATTCTTTGCACTTTCATAAGCTTAAGAATGAGTTTGTTTTTTATTTATTTTGCACTAAAGGGAAATTGCTTTACGTCTGCTACGCTCAATAAAGTTCTTGTAAATACAATCTACTCATCTTTAGAGCTGTAGTTGAAACGGTTTTTATATTTATTCAAATCCAAAAGATGACATATGTATCAAGTGTCACTTGAGTTCTAAACAGATGTATTTTGACAAATGGACCATAGTCGGTAAAAAAACATCTAGATTTAGCTGTAACCAATATGAATAAGCATATTACCTCTGTTGTGGATTAATTTACGTTGTGTCATTCTCATTGAATCGTATTTTGAAGTCTTGCGATTCTTTTTTGTCTTGTGACTTTGTATTTGGAGACATATTTTGGCCATTGTGCCACACTGCCACTTCCTTGCATTCATGAGATCATTATGTCAGTTTTTCCTGGCTGGTTGAGGGCTTTATCAGCAGCGATGAGACCTCTTAAAAAGGAACCCCCTCACATTCACTCTGCCGTAAAGCAGGTCTGCTCACATTTGTCCACATCTCAGGTTGTTCCAGGCCACAGAGGACTAGTGTATGGCGGCGTTAATCTCCTCTGCACAATGCTGTCTTTAACGGGCTCTGTAAACTGTTACAGTTTGACGTGTGACGCTTTGTGTTTATTTTCTAGTCATTGTCAAGGCCACCAACGGGCCCCGATACGTCGTTGGATGTCGCAGACAGGTAGGCGCTGAACCAGGGCTCACTTTAGCTAAATTAACATTAAACCGTAATCTTTAGATATTTTTTCTTCACCTGAACCTTCCATCGTGAGCTTTCAATAACAACATTTTAACTGAAAAGCAGAAATGCCATGAATCAGTGTAGACTTGAGCGCACACAATTCTAAGAATTTGTCTTATTTTTCCTTGCTAAATTAGAACATCTTCGTAACTTTTTATTTCCTATTTTGAACATAAGTTTTTATCCGCTCCAACATAATTAGCAGCTGCTGATTCCCCCCCCCCCCCTTTTTTTATTTTTATATTTCACTTTATTTTTAAAATTATTGTTCTATTTATGTTTTTATTTTTAAACTGACAGTGTCTGGACCACACGGGTGTGTCTGATAGTAGCACAATCTGTCTGGTTCTGTCTGTAGTGTAGACCTGTACTTGTGATGTATATTTTCAACCCTACTATTTTGTTTTGAATGGGATGTCTGATGTCTGAATATAAAAAATCAATCAAAACATTTTATCATTATTATTGTTCATTGCAGTTGGACAAGTCGCAGCTGAAGCCAGGCACCCGGGTGGCCCTGGACATGACTACACTTACCATAATGAGGTGGGCCTAATGTCACCAAGTGTTGGAACTGAAAACTTAAATTCTCTTCCGAGGCTAGAAAAGATGTTGCTGTTCCTTGGTATTTAAAAAAAAAAAAAAAAAAAAAAAGTTTTTTTTGTATAGTCATAATTGTCAATTTTTGATGTCTGTTGTTTTTCTTTGGAAGTCTTCCTGTTACAGCGCAGTGACTTGAACATCATGACATTCCATTCATTTATCCATCCGGCCTTTTGCGTTTAACTGAGATCTCAGAGACTCCAGCCCCTCCTGAGCTGCTCTCAGCCCGCATACAACATAAGCCCTCAGCATTTTAAAGGATGAGGAGATGGAACACTGAATATCTAAACCACAAACCCTCTCCTCCCAGACTATCGCTTCAGTTTTTGCCCACAAGAATCCAAAACAATATCAATGATGTTATCAGTTAACCAGTTTAAAGGGATCCAACAACCTATAGTCTCATTTGTAGCTGAGGTGTGCCTATTCTTTAGCCGGTAAGCAAACTAGCATCTTCAACCAATCATTGTCACTATTTGTACAGACATTTATTGTTCATCAGGTGTTTTTTTTTGTCAAATGTTTGTACTCACGGGGTCCTTTGGTAAAACCTTCAACAGTCTGTCAGATACTCAGTTTTCCATCTGCATCCATGTTATAAAGAATTCTGGTGAGTTTTGCTTACCAAACCTTTCTAGCATTTCCCTCCAGATCTGCTCTGATTAGATTAATACTGCAAAAAAGTTGCACTTTCCGAGTGAAATGAAAGATATACTTTGATGATGGTGGATTGTCTCGTGGGAAAATTTAAACCACTGATGGATTTTATGCAACACGAGTGCACATGCACATGACAGGAAGCGTTTCGACCATGGAACCATTTCATCTTAATATGACTTTGTGCTACATCAAAGAAATTCCTCCTTTCTATGACGGTTTAATTATGAACTATGTACACAGATTCGATTTCAGAGGAGCACATGCCTGTACCGGTTCTAAGCACCCCTGATCTATGACGCATTTATATGTGAACATGTCTATCGTCTTCTTCCAAAGGTACCTGCCCCGAGAGGTGGATCCCCTGGTCTACAACATGTCCCACGAGGACCCCGGCAGTGTATCCTACTCGGAGATCGGAGGGCTGTCTGAACAGATTCGAGAGCTGAGAGAGGTACAGGTCATCCGCTGCTTTACGCCAGAACAGTTGAGAGTACTTTCTGAGTGGTCAGCAACTTGGATAAAACGACAGAATGTGGCGATGAGGTTTATATTCCCTCTATTACGCATGAAAGCAATAACTTTGCGCTCCCATCCATTTGTTTTTATTTGTGGGCCATATGCAAGCCTTTAACTGGTCACAGATTCAGTTCTATGCTTTATTTTATGTGCTTTTTACATTGAAATGATCACTCTTGAGTTAGGCTCTGACTACAGAGATATTAGCCTCCACATTAGACATTTATGAGGATTTTTTTTATCAGTACCTACTCAGTCTTGCACGGCTCTATTTGCCTTGGTACATCTCGGTGGTTTTCCATTCCAAAATACTGAACAGAAAGTAGGTCCGACTGACCCATGAAGGAGTCCCTATCAAAACATGTGACTCGCTGGCCAATCTGTCAGCCTATCGACAGGACTGGGCCACTTACAACATAGGCCAAGAAGTTGTCAGTATCAAACACTTAAAGATTGCTTATATTTGTAGGAATACAAACATACTGTGGCCTTCTGCTAGACATGATTGTCTGTGGAAGGGACCAGACTTAAACAAGGACAAAAGGTGTTCCAAAAACTTTGAACAATTTCAATTGGATATCAAAATGGTGAACAAAAGGTCAAACGTCAATACAAAATAACTCGAATAATAAATAACTTGGATTATGGAACAACTCAACTGAGGTCAACTGAACAGTAACAAAACAGAAGTAAAACTGACCCCCAGAGAAAAAAATAAGGCTGCTTAAATAGGGCTGGACTGACCTAAACTTCCCACATGAGGGCGGAACAACATAGAAATACAACAAACACAAAACCTAACAAATAAAAGCAAGATCATCTGTACCTTAACCCAAATAAGTAAATGTTACAATTACAAAATAACTAGGGTCCACTAGGGTCCGAAATAGTTTCCCCACCCCTTCATTCTAATTTTTTTATTTCAGTGAGTCAGACTGCATTGTTTTGTGTGTGTGTGTGTATATTTATATATAATATTAATTCATATATTTTCCTTCATGGCAGGTGATAGAACTCCCTCTTACCAACCCTGAGCTTTTCCAGAGGGTGGGCATTATTCCCCCTAAAGGCTGCCTGCTGTATGGTCCTCCAGGTTAGTAACTTTTTTTTTTTTTCCCGTTAACACCATCACACCTGGTTAGAACGAAGAGGTAGCTGTTCCTAAAACACAAGCGATCTTTTTGGAGTTTGAGGATGGCTTTGTGATGCCGTAAGGTTCTGATTTCTTCTCCAACAGGCACGGGGAAGACTCTTCTTGCCAGGGCCGTGGCCAGTCAACTGGACTGTAACTTTCTAAAGGTGGGTGCCGTTGCCGTTTGTGGAATTTGACGCCGTACGGTCAGGCGCTGACCGTCTGTGTGCGTGTGCGACCGCTGCAGGTCGTGTCCAGTTCTATCGTGGACAAATACATCGGAGAGAGTGCTCGGCTCATCAGAGAGATGTTCAATTACGCCAGGGACCACCAGCCATGCATCATCTTTATGGACGAGATTGATGCCATCGGTGAGTGATGGCCAGGACCTCCTTTGGGTTTATTTCTATGGAGCTCTGCCCTCTTGCTTGGATTGAGTGTTGCAAAAATGACATACTCAGATCCTTCCAGACTTCGTAATTCATACACCTAATGATGTTGGACCAGTTAAATGACAGAAAATGCAGAAATTTGCATTGTATACTGGCATAATTGTGTAAACCGGCTGAAAGGATGTTTTTTTTTTTTTTCTTGAGGTGGCCGTCGTTTCTCTGAGGGAACTTCAGCTGACAGAGAGATCCAGAGGACTCTGATGGAGGTACGTCAAGCAATGGCTCATCAAAACCAACCCAGTGGAACCTTGACATTAGACGAACTGCTCCTTTTAACATTGCACCTTCATATATGGCTGCATTCAAAGCCATGTATTGCCCCAGCATGTTGCCATGGTATCTCGGTTGTCTTGTGCCATGTGGGGTGGAGTAGGTACTAGGGTTGTCAAAAGTATCGATATTAAAATGTTGTATCCGGATACGATACTCATTTTCAAAAGTATCGACGCTGACCTGCCGTCGCTGCGCCCCTTCTCTCTGATTTATTTATGTATTTATTTACGTTGTTTATGATCATTAACAATACGTTAGCCTTGCTAGCTGCGGCTAATGGCTAATAATAACGCGCTACCAATCAGGTACATATCCAACTCCCCCACATCCAAGTCGGCCATTTTGATTAGGTCACCAATAGGAAGATCCCAGGCAAGAAAGTCCTTATTGCTTCATGGCAATATAGACATTCATTTAAAAATAGTTAAATAAATCTTTCAATCACTTAATTAAACTCTATCCATAATATTATGTTATGTTGTTTGTACAATAAGTCCAAACAAGTTTAACAAAAAAATATTTATTTCTCACAATTATGAAGGGTGGAGGGTTAGGGTTTGGGTTAGGGTTAGGGTTAGGGTCATTAATGTGGGCCACCAGTCACAATAACATGAGTAACAGGTCAGTTTGAAATGAAAGACACAATTCACTTAAATTTGGGGGTCTTTGTTTTAATCCTTGTGGTATCGAAAATGGTATCGAGTATCGAGTATTTTCCTGAGTATCGGTAACGAGTTGAAAATTTTAGTATCGTGACAACCATAGTAGGTACTACAAATAAAACCCCTCATTTATGTCCATAAAAGATGAGTAGTTTGGATTTCCACTATGCAATCCACAAAGTGTGGATTTAATGTCACAGGTAGAGGTTAAGACCTACACACCTCCAGTCTTAATACATCAACCCATCCAGTTTCACTTTCAGTAACTGACTTTGTTTGTTTTTTTTTCTGCCAGCTGTTGAACCAGATGGACGGCTTCGACACACTACACAGAGTCAAGATGATCATGGCCACCAACCGGCCGGACACCCTGGACCCGGCCCTGCTGCGGCCCGGCAGACTGGACCGCAAAATCCGTGAGAGCCCGCCCCCTCTAATGGTCGCGTCTTTGTCCGTGCTGTGCAGCCACAAACAAACAACACTTTCCTTCCTTTTTCTCCTCAGACATTGAGCTGCCCAATGAACAGGCTCGTCTGGACATTCTGAAGATCCACTCCAGTCCCATCACCAAGCATGGAGAAATAGGTCAGTGAGCAGATGCTCCGATAGCTCGAAAACCTTTATTTAAAATCACAGCAGAACATCAGTTTCAGCTCAACTCTTCATTTAATAGTTATTGTCAAATGAACAGTAAAAATGGACATGATTGAAAGAGCAGGATTATTGTGTTGCGTTGTCTTCAGATGTGACCGGTGCCCAAAGGAGGGCTGGTCAGTCCTGTTTTAGGGATCCTTCTTCATGAAGATTCAGAGCCTCTGCTTTTCACATTTGAGCATTGAGGGAGTCTTAACCTATTAGCAAACCATGAAATCATTCTGATCACAGCGAAAGAGCCAAAATGTGGCATCACTGAAGAGCCTAAAACTACAGGTGTGTTTTGGATGAATTCAACCCAAGTTCAGGTGGATGACATTCAGTTTGAACCCCGACACCTCAATGTTCTGAGCTCTACTAATGATTTGGGTGTTATGGCCCACATAGGTGTGACGACACCAGGCCCAAGTTGCCAGCCCCGTTTGTTGTGTGGCCGCTCCCAGATATTCTGTAGATAAAAACATCCCTAACTAATGGCTCAGACTCTTTGTGTCACAGGAGGATTTGTAGTTCTGGGTTCGTTTGCAGCTGATTTTCCTTCTCTTCGCAGATTACGAAGCCATCGTGAAGTTGTCGGATGGTTTTAATGGAGCCGACCTGAGAAATGTGTGCACAGAAGCAGGTCAGTTCTCGTTGAGCACCACTTCTGTTTTTAATGTGTTATGGTTCCTCACGAGCAGGTGGGTTTTCGTTTTGTTTTTTAGGGCTGTTTGCTATCCGCGCCGACCGCGAGTACGTCACCCAGGAAGACTTCATGAAAGCTGTGCGGAAGGTGGCCGACTCCAAGAAGCTGGAGTCCAAGCTGGACTACAAGCCTGTATAAATATGTCCGGAGGACCATTCGTCATCGCTTTGTCATGTATTTGCTGTTTTATGCTTCAGAGCCTGAGGAGCTCGTTTGTGGCAAGAAAAAAGAAACGTGCATCGTTCTCTTGGATGCCAACAGTGACATTTCCTACCACAAACTGGTTCCAGGCATTAGTCTGGCCCACCTCATGTTTTATACCAAAACAAACCAAGCTGGTTAATCACACCACTTGTACAAAAATAAGTTCCCGTTCTGAAATTATAACATTACATGTAAAGCCGTCTCTTTGATTGTGTTGTCTACCTATGAAAGGGTGCTTGAATGTGGAGGCAGTGGATCAGTAACTCTGATGGGTCGGGCCATGGGACAACCCCAGGATCAGTATAAAAATAATGAGCAAACCATAGTTGGGTTATGGAACTCTGTTCCTAAAGAATAAAAAAAAAACTGGGAAAACATTCATGACAGAGCTCACATATGAAGGTACATATCAGCACCTGCAGACATGTGGAACACGGCAACTAATGACATGTGACTTAGAGACTCTGTAGAACTGTCGTCTTCTGATTCAGCTCCCGTTGACTGTAACACTGCGTACGGAAACAAAAAAAGAGAAACCAGACTAGACACATCCTGTGAGCTTAGATGGTGACTAAGCTCCATGACATCCCGCGTATTAGTTCGCTGAGTTCACCTTCTGATCCGTGAGGCTTCTTACTTTGTAATGGACTGCGATCCGTTTCAGATGGAGGTTCATGAGTTCATGTTGGGTTCCAGCTCCAGTTGGAGAGTTGTGGATGAGGGAAAATGGACGTTGCGTCAGTGATCCGCCGCCGCTCCCAGAACGAAAGACTCCAGGACGAAGGCCCTGCAGATGGGGCAGTGCTGGAACCGCGACACGCAGCGGTCGCACACGCACGCGTGCCTGCAGGGCAGCAGCACCCGGTTGACCGCCGCGTTCTGGCAGATCACGCAGTCTCTGACCGTCCCCTCGGACCACTCGCCGTCATGGCCGCCGCTGGGCTCACTGTGTTGGTCACTCTGCTCGGACGCAGACTGGTTGGATGCCGCTCCACTGTCGGCCGACATAAAGAGAGGCTGCAGGCAACATGAGGTATCAATTTATACATAACGTACACTTTGACATGTACACGTATTAAAAGTCAGCATTTTTCAGCCGGTCTCCTGCTCAACATGTTTGGTCTGATAATGACTGGACACATTTGAACTTATCAACTGATTTATCAAAATTCTTCCAGAACAGTTTTAGTCCTAACATCCAGTGGTGGGAAGTACTGTACTTAAGTACAATTTCCGTGTATCTGTACTTTACTTAAGTAGATTTAATAATGGATACTTTCTACTTTTACTCCACTACATTTAACAGTAAGTATCTGTACCTTCTACTTCACTACATTTCTATACAGCGTTTCGTTACTCGTTACATCCAAGACGCATTTCGGGTTTTTTGATTTGTTCGTTAGTTTGAAAGTATCCAATGGCGAGAGCAGAATCAGTCCGCCGAACCAATCCAAAGCGGGAAATAACCATTAGGCCCTCCCTCAAGAAGAGCAGCACAGTACCAGGACCTGCATAAAATATCTAAATCTAAAGTGTCACAGGGGGTAAACACAATAAAAACATGCTTTATCTGCAGCATTGCTCATTAAAATGGTACATTACTGATTTATTCAAACTAAATACGATAGGTACACTTAATGACATTATATAAGCCGTTAGGTATTATGGTTGGCAAGTACTTTTACTTTTAATACTTAAGTAGTTTTAAAAGCTTGTACTTTCTTACTTTTACTTAAGT